GCGGAGCTGACTCCATGTTGCAAGTTGCAGCCAAGAGAGCTAAAGAGTCGTCTGCTCAAGCAAAGAGTCCTTCAGTTGCGCGAATTGCCGGTCCGAGAATTGGTGATAGCTCTGTTGGGGGTGAGTCTGTGTCTGGTCTACTTAAAGCGGGCTTCCTGTCAAGTCCATCTGCTTGTGCGAAGCTGGTTGACCATGTGTATCGAGCTAGTGACCTTGGCGCTTTCTCGAGCCTTCCCTTGGATAAGCAAGAAGAAGCCGCCATGTATCATCTTCAAAGGGGGATGGTTTTTAGTGTTGGGGCCATGCAGAACTCACATGCTGTTGCCCCCTCTTCTGCCCTGCTTGATGAGCTGATGAAGAAGAATGCTGATCTGGCTGACAAGCTCTCGAACGAGCCGATTCATCATGATGCGAGGATTTCCGAGGTAAATGAGAGTATGTCTGCGCTCAAGAGTTCTGTTGGCCAAAAGGATGGTGAGCTCGAGTCTCTTATGGCTACTCTGCTCGAACGCAAGGAGGCCTACTTTCGCCTCGAACGTAAGCATGCTGCTCTGTCCCAGGATCGTGACAAGTTGCTGGCCAAGTTTGACACCCATGCGGAAGCCACGGAGGCATCCAAACATGAGATTGCTGCTAACGTGTACAAGTTGGGATACTTGGATTGCCGAAATGGTGCTTCTCCATGCTGCCCTCTCGAAGATGATGACGGTGAGCCGCTCTGTCTTGACCTGCCCCCTTCTCAAAGTGAGCAGATCTATGTTGTGGACGTAGAAGCAGTTGAAGAGCAGGTAGCAGATGAAGCTGCAATGGAGGAAGACAATGCCCAAGATGGCACAGCTGATGAGGTTAGGGCAGATGCGGAAGAGCAGGCAGCTGAGGCTGCCAAGCAAATGATGCTGGTTGAGCAGAGTGATGCTGAGGCAGTTGTGGACGTGACCGGCTGAGGGTCGTCTGCCGAAGTCCCCTAGTAGATGTAGTTCATTTTTGCTATTTTTGAATTTTGTAATCTTCTTTCAATAAGTGGCCTTTAGTTTACCACCTTATTTATTGTTGAACTTGGCTGGTTAGCCGTTTTGCTGTGGAATTTTCAGTTATCTTTCAAACTTCAATTCTCATTGTATCTTGTAAGTGTATGTCCAGAGACATAGCGCTTGAAAGAGACTCCATTGAGTTTGTTCTCGAGAAGTAGCTTGCCTGCAATGGAGGTAAGGCTTGTCACCGGCGGGCGTATGTCAGGGACATAACGCTCGAAAAGTGCTCCATTGAGTTTTTGCTTGAGAAGCAGCCTGTTTGCAATGGAGATGAGGCTTGTCGCCTGTGGGCATATGTTAAGGACATAACGCTTGAAAAATGCTCCATTGAGTTTGTGCTTTGAGAAACAGCTTGTATGCAATGGAGGTGAGGCTTGTCGCCTGCGGGCGCATGTCAGGAACATAACGCTCAAAAAAATGCTTCATTGAGTTTGTGCTCGAGGAGCAGCTTGTTTGCAATGGAGGTGAGGTTTGTCGCCTGTGGGCGTATGTCGGGGACATAACGCTCAAAAAATGCCCCATTGAGTTTGTGCTCGAGGAGCAGCTTGTCTGCAATGGAGGTGAGGCTTGGTGCCTGCGGGCGTATGTCAGGGACATAATGCTCGAAAAATGCTCCATTGAGTTTGTGCTCGAGGAGCAGCTTGTCTGCAATGGAGGTGAGACTTGGTGCCTGCAGGCGTATGTCAGGGACATAACGCTCAAAAAATGCTCCATTGAGTTTGTACACGAGAAGCAGCTTGTCTGCAATGGAGGTAAGGCTGGTCGCCTGCATGTGTATGTTTGTGGGACATAATGCTCGAAAAAATACTTCATTGAAAAGCTTGCTCTTGTATTGATGTCAGTGTGACTACATCACTTTATTGAATAAAAGAGATGAACAACGTAGATAACATCGAAAGCAGTTTGTCTTCAATGGCAGTAAAGGAGGCCCGTCGCTTGCTAGAAGCCCAGCTGGTAAGCTAAGGGCTTCACGAATATATAGTATCTCCGAAGGTGGTGTGTATTCCATTGTCTCGGGTGTCGAGGGTATATGTAAGACCCTTGTCTTGGGGAAACAAGAACGGTGAGCAATCCCACATCGCTCGGGGAGGGAAAGGTGAAGTGCTTTAAATATGTGGGCACTTCTCTTCCTAGCACGAGGCCTTTTGGGAGCTCACTGGCTTCAGAGTCATAGGAACTCTGAAGTTAAGCGAGTTGGGGGCCAGAGCAATCCCAAGATGGGTGACCCACTGGGAAGTTACTTGTGAGCTCCTAGAAACAAAATCGTGAGGGCAGAGAGGGGGACCTAAAGCGGACAATATCGTGCTAGGGGAGTCGAGTCCTGACAAAATGGTATCAGAGCTGGATCCCGACCGGAACTGTGCCAGCGAGGACGCTGGGCCCCAAGGGGGGTGGATTGTAAGACCCGTGTCTTGGGGAAACAAGAACGGTGAGCAATCCCACATCGCTCGGGGAGGGAAAGGTGAAGTGCTTTAAATGTGTGGGCACTTCTCTTTCTAGCACGAGGCCTTTGGGGAGCTCACTGGCTTCGGAGTCGTGGGAACTCCGAAGTTAAGTGAGTTGGGGGCTAGAGCAATCCCAGGATAGGTGACCCACTGGGAAGTTGCTCGTGAGTTCCCAGAAACAAAACCGTGAGGATAGATGGGGGGCCCAAAGCGGACAATATCGTGCTACGGCAGAGCCGATCCCGGGATGTGGCAATTTGGTATCAGAGCCGCTCTGCCGTGTGGTGCGAGTGTGCCGACGAGGATGTCGGGCCCCTAAGGGGGGTGGATTGTAAGATCCCACATCGACCAACGGAGAGGGGGTGATGTGCCTTATATGTACATACCTGCCTCCATCTAGCACGAGGCCTTTTGGGAGCTTACTGGCTTCGGAGTCATGGGAACTCCGAAGTTAAGCGAGTTGGGGCTATAGCAATCCCAGGATGGGTGACCCACTGGGAAGTTGCTCGTGAGTTCCCAGAAACAAAACCGTGAGGATAGATGGGGGGCCCAAAGCGGACAATATCGTGCTACGGCAGAGCCGATCCCGGGATGTGGCAATTTGGTATCAGAGCCGCTCTGCCGTGTGGTGCGAGTGTGCCGACGAGGATGTCGGGCCCCTAAGGGGGGGGGATTGTAAGATCCCACATCGACCAACGGAGAGGGGGTGATGTGCCTTATATGTACATGTTCCGGGCCGAGGGGATATGCGTTGACACCCGGCTTCCTGCTTTTGGATGCGGTGCGGTTGTGCGCGAGGCCTTTTGGGAGCTTACTGGCTTCGGAGTCATGGGAACTCCGAAGTTAAGCGAGTTGGGGCTATAGCAATCCCAGGATGGGTGACCCACTGGGAAGTTGCTCGTGAGTTCCCAGAAACAAAACCGTGAAGACAGAAGGGGGGGCCCAAAGCGGACAATATCGTGCTACGGCGGAGCCGATCCCTGTCTGCCGCACAAATCTCACGGCCTGATGTTCCGGGCCGAGGGGATATGCGTTGACACCCGGCTTCCTGCTTTTGGATGCGGTGCGGTTGTGCGCGAGGCCTTTTGGGAGCTTACTGGCTTCGGAGTCATGGGAACTCCGAAGTTAAGCGAGTTGGGGCCAGAGCAAATCCTAAGATGGGTGACCCACTGGGAAGTTGCTCGTGAGTTCCCAGAAACAAAACCGTGAAGACAGAAGGGGGGGCCCAAAGCGGACAATATCGTGCTACGGCGGAGCCGATCCCTGTCTGCCGCACAAATCTCACGGCCTGATGTTCCGGGCCGAGGGGATATGCGTTGACACCCGGCTTCCTGCTTTTGGATGCGGTGCGGTTGTGCGCGAGGCCTTTTGGGAGCTTACTGGCTTCGGAGTCATGGGAACTCCGAAGTTAAGCGAGTTGGGGCTATAGCAATCCCAGGATGGGTGACCCACTGGGAAGTTGCTCGTGAGTTCCCAGAAACAAAACCGTGAAGACAGAAGGGGGGGCCCAAAGCGGACAATATCGTGCTACGGCGGAGCCGATCCCTGTCTGCCGCACAAATCTCACGGCCTGATGTTCCGGGCCGAGGGGATATGCGTTGACACCCGGCTTCCTGCTTTTGGATGCGGTGCGGTTGTGCGCGAGGCCTTTTGGGAGCTTACTGGCTTCGGAGTCATGGGAACTTCTTTGAATGTAGCTTGAGCCTCGTATTTATAGGAAGAGTTCTTGGAGAAGTACTCGAGGTTGAAAATCCGCATGGTGGAGCCTGATTAGAGCAAGTGGGTAGTCTAATCGACATTTGGGATCGTGAAGTATAGTGGTGTGACCCCATAAATCCTGGTGAATCTCGGCCGCCGCCCCGATCATGGACTCTGCGCTTCTGGCCGTGGAGACGCATTTATGGCCTTGATAGCTGGTGACCTAATATCTCAAGCTGCCAGAATTCTTGTGAGAATGTCTACGTCTAATCACTCTGATCCTCATCACCAAATCCTGACTTCAATAACTTCCCACCTTCCCTCGTGCATTAAATGCTTATTCGTGGTCAGTGGGTTTGCTGCAATAAACAGAGGCACTACTTCATTAAATGAAGCATGGGACCCTGTTGTCACGTGATGATTCGACTTTAATGCCTTTGGCCGTGATTTTGTTCGGCCTCGGCCTCGGCTTACAATCGAGGGCGAGATGATCATGCCTTGGCAACTTTCCTTCTGTTTTTAGGAAGGCCAAACACCTTGGCGAAACGCTGCGCTTTAGCTTTTACGAGCCAGTGCCAGGGCCGAGAAAAGGGGCTCCTTCGGCCAGTTCATGATCGTGATTTATCAGGCACAAACAATCCCGGGATGTGACAGTATAACTTCCTCTACCCCCAAGTCGGCTGATCACGTAGGGACCTTCCCAATTGGGCTTCATCTTCTTTGACCCTTGCCTTGGTGCTGTGATGAAACTCTTTCTAAGCACAAGGTCTCCAGGTTGAAACTGTCTGATCTTGGCCTTCTTATTGTAGTTGGACGTCAGCTGTTGCTAGTAGGCTGCCACTCGAATAATGGCCTTTTCTCGTTCTTCTTCGAGCAGATCAAGGTTGACTTTCATCTGCTTGCAATTTTGGTCAAGATTGCCCACCTCAATGCTCATGGAAGGGACTGTGATGTGTGGGGGGATGATTGCTTCTGTCCCATAGGCTAGAGAAAATGGTGTCTCGCCGGTTGATCTCCTTTTGGTTGTGCGATAAGCCCACAACACTCTTGGTAACTCGTCGACCCATTTTCCTTTTACGTCTTCCAGTCTTTTCTTCAGGCAATCCAGCACGATCTTGTTGGATGCCTCTGCTTGGCCATTGCCTTGCGGGTATCTGGGGGTTGACAGGTGTTGTTTGATGCCATACTTTGCAAGGAATGCAGTGATCTGCCTGCCCACGAACTGTGTACCATTGTCGGTAACTATCGACTGCGGGCATCCGAATCGGTAGATGATGTTCTTCTAAATAAATCATTTGACATCAGCTTCCTTGATAGAGGATAAAGCCTCGGCCTCGATCCATTTGGTGAAGTAATCCATGCGACGATCATCATCTCCTTGTTGGCAGGTGCTGTCGGCATAGGTTCCACTAGGTCGATGGCCCATTGCATGAAAGGCCATAGACTGTTCTGCGGATGGTATTCCTCAGCTGGCAAGCGAGGGATTGGCTTATATCGTTGGCATCGATCACATCTTCGAGCATACTCCATGGAGTCTTGGCGCATGGTAGGCCAGAAATAGCCTATGCTAAGAGCCTTCTGGGCAAGCGATCTGCCCCCAGCGTGATTTCCACATTCGCCGTCGTGTATTTTGCAGAGAACCTCGAGCGTCTGCGGGTACTTGATGCAAGTAAGATAAGTGCCAGAGTATGATCTGCGAACAAGCATGTCACCTTTCATGTAGTACCTTGCAGCCTTCTGTTTGATTTTCCGGAACTCGGACTTGTCCTTGGGTAAGTTTTCGTTAACCAAGTAGTCAATGATGGGGTCTTGCTCTTGCCAGCTAGGATCCTCGTCGATCTGCATCAAGTTTGGCTGCTCTGCCTCTTCTATGCTTGGCTGGTCAAGGTGCTCGACCAGGATGGAGCGTCTGAACTGGGTATCAAGCGCTGATCCTAATCTTGCTAGTGTGTCTGCGTGCGCGTTCTCTGCTCGAGGCACGTGTTGGATGGTGAAGGTAGGAAACGCCTTCAATAGCTCTTGGACTTTGTCAAGATACAAGATCATCCTTGGGTGCTATTAATTGTTGATATATTGTTAATTAACAGTTGCTGATCTAGAAAAGAGGAATCGTTGAAATGCTTCGTGTGCTGCAGTAAAATAAGAAGAAACGCTTAGAGATTTCTTCTGTAAAGCTGTGTTCGAGTTGAGTGGATGTGGATTTGAAATTCAAACTTTGTATGGAAGAGAAAAGAGGGAAAGAAGAATAATTTGGATCGTTTTTGTAAATTTTGAATTCAAAACACAAAATTTGTGTTTGACTTGAGCGGCTTTTGTGTTTTCTGTTTTTTTAAAATTAATAATTGAAAGTATTAGGGGCGGATGTTTGCGCCTGTAATAAAGATCTTTAATGTAATCTGCCAACATGGCAACACAAATAGTAAGGGCGGATCTTTGAGATTTTCTGCCCCTATTAACAATAGGGGCGCGTGTATTAAGGGCCCATTCTCTTTCCGCCCCTCCTTCTCATTAGGGGCGGTTTTGCAAGATATCTGCCTCTACAAGTGCTTTTAGAGGCGAATATTAAATGCCCCAAATACTCATTTTTTTGGTAGTGATTTGATTTTCCAGACTTGTATAGTGTTGAACTTAACAATTTGCCAAATGAGTGCATGTAATTTAATGTGAAAAGGAGAGGGAATTATATGCTGTCACATTTTCTGTGTTTCTATCCATGCCTTTGACCAACATTTTCTGTGTCACATTATATGCTAGTAAATGGTCTTTGGTGTCAAAACTGGATATTTTCAATAAACTGATTTTGGATGGTTGTGTGAGCTAGTGTTAATTGATGTCTGTGGTTCTATTTTACTGTTTTTAGAATATGCTTAGTTTCATCAGCTACTCCAGATTCAGAGAATGAGAATCAGCTGTTTTTTGGAATCATTTGTGCACAGTCGATAAACATAGTGCAGTATTCTCCTTAAAACTTAATTTGAGATCTTCTAGGGTGAGAATAGTGGTAAGTGTGGATAAAGCCTGGTTTCACCAGTCTCATCAGAGGATGGGCATTTGATCTTTGATCTTCTAGGATGCTGTTATAACAGTTTATAGTTAAGAATTAGATAAGTAGGGAACATGAATCATTCACCCTCTAAAGATCTTTGCAACTGGCTGTTTTGTTTAGATCAATAAGGATTTTATCACCCTAGGTGTCTGAAACTTATCCATAACCTTACAGGGTCCCCAACTTTTCATCGCCCTAGGTGTCTGAAACTTTCCATCACACTACAACGCCCCGCTTTTCCATCGTCGTACAATGTCCCCACCTTCGGTCACTGATGAGCACATAAACTATCACATTTATTATCCCTAAATATATTTGTTAGTAATTGATTTTCTTACAATTTTAGTTAATTAGGTTTGTTTTTCACTTTTGCACTTGCTTACATACCCATTACATAATTGATGATGATTTCATCTTAAGGTTGAAGAAGATTATTGGATGCTAGTAGGCAAATGGATGCAACAACCAATGAAACAAAAAGATGAAGAATTTGGAGAATGGAGTCATCAACACTATGAAATAAATAAAGGAAGCAAATTGGCAATTGATTTGATGGCAAGTGGAAGACATATTCAATTCATGCATGGAGTGGATGAAGCAACAGTTCAATCATGTATTTCCCATTGTGTAGTAAAAACTTTCATGCTTTTAAAAGAGAAGAGAATTACCAAAGATTAATAGAATTTTGATGAAGATTGATTTGATTTTCCAGACTTGTATAGTGTTGAACTTAACAATTTGCCAAATGAGTGCATGTAATTTAATGTGAAAAGGAGAGGGAATTATATGCTGTCACATTTTCTGTGTTTCTATCCATGCCTTTGACCAACATTTTCTGTGTCACATTATATGCTAGTAAATGGTCTTTGGTGTCAAAACTGGATATTTTCAATAAACTGATTTTGGATGGTTGTGTGAGCTAGTGTTAATTGATGTCTGTGGTTCTATTTTACTGTTTTTAGAATATGCTTAGTTTCATCAGCTACTCCAGATTCAGAGAATGAGAATCAGCTGTTTTTTGGAATCATTTGTGCACAGTCGATAAACATAGTGCAGTATTCTCCTTAAAACTTAATTTGAGATCTTCTAGGGTGAGAATAGTGGTAAGTGTGGATAAAGCCTGGTTTCACCAGTCTCATCAGAGGATGGGCATTTGATCTTTGATCTTCTAGGATGCTGTTATAACAGTTTATAGTTAAGAATTAGATAAGTAGGGAACATGAATCATTCACCCTCTAAAGATCTTTGCAACTGGCTGTTTTGTTTAGATCAATAAGGATTTTATCACCCTAGGTGTCTGAAACTTATCCATAACCTTACAGGGTCCCCAACTTTTCATCGCCCTAGGTGTCTGAAACTTTCCATCACACTACAACGCCCCGCTTTTCCATCGTCGTACAATGTCCCCACCTTCGGTCACTGATGAGCACATAAACTATCACATTTATTATCCCTAAATATATTTGTTAGTAATTGATTTTCTTACAATTTTAGTTAATTAGGTTTGTTTTTCACTTTTGCACTTGCTTACATACCCATTACATAATTGATGATGATTTCATCTTAAGGTTGAAGAAGATTATTGGATGCTAGTAGGCAAATGGATGCAACAACCAATGAAACAAAAAGATGAAGAATTTGGAGAATGGAGTCATCAACACTATGAAATAAATAAAGGAAGCAAATTGGCAATTGATTTGATGGCAAGTGGAAGACATATTCAATTCATGCATGGAGTGGATGAAGCAACAAACAAGATGGTGGCTTGAAGATGTGGAATCATGAACTATTAAAATTGTGAGTTAAGCAAATGAAATGAAGGATGATGAGAAGAGGTGCAACACTTAACCAAAAGAAAAGATTGAATAACAAAAGCAAGTAGAAGTGGAGCAACAATTGAAGAAAAGAAGAAACAATGAAGAGATGGGTTACGGTTGTGCATTGAATAAGATGAAGAATTTGGAGAATGGAGTCATCAACACTATGAAATAAATAAAGGAAGCAAATTGGCAATTGATTTGATGGCAAGTGGAAGACATATTCAATTCATGCATGGAGTGGATGAAGCAACAAACAAGATGGTGGCTTGAAGATGTGGAATCATGAACTATTAAAATTGTGAGTTAAGCAAATGAAATGAAGGATGATGAGAAGAGGTGCAACACTTAACCAAAAGAAAAGATTGAATAACAAAAGCAAGTAGAAGTGGAGCAACAATTGAAGAAAAGAAGAAACAATGAAGAGATGGGTTACGGTTGTGCATTGAATAAGATGAAGAATTTGGAGAATGGAGTCATCAACACTATGGAATAAGTAATGGAAGCAAATTGGCAATTGGTTTGATGGCAAGTGGAATACATATTAAATTCATGAATGGAGGGATTTGATGAATTTAGAATTGCTCCCATATACGACACCTCCCTTGGGTTTTACAAAGTGGTCCGAACCAAATTGGCGCCGTTGCCGGGGAGCGGCTTGTCAAAGAGTGCAGAGATCCCCTTGGTCAAAGGTTTGCTGGTTATGTGAAATTCTTCACATATGGTACACTCTTTCCAACTTTCATCTTATTGTTAATATAAAAAAAATTTAAATTTTTTTTGTTTTGGTTTGTTTTTGTTTATTTATTTATTTTCTTTATGCGACCTAGAGATCATCTAGGAAGATTTGTCAAAAAATCTGAAACCATGGCTGAAATTGTGTTTAATGAACAAGAAATTGCAAATAATGAACAAGAGATTAATGCTCAAATTGTGAATAATGAAATGAGAGAAGAAGTAGTTGCACCTAGAACTTTAGAGACATTTTTGCATCCTACTCGTGCACCAAATCCTTCATGCATCATGTTTCCACCTAACATGCCAAATTATGATTTCAAACCTGGAATGATTCAATTACTACCTATTTTTCATGGCATGGAAAGTGAAAATCCTTATGTGCATGTTAGGGAATTTAAGAAGCAATTGGCACCTTTTACAATGTTCAACTTGATAGGATTAATTTCATAAGGTTGAAATTTTTTCCTTTTTCCTTCAAAGAAAAAGCAAAAAGTTGGCTGTATTCATTAAGGGCTAGATCCATAGGCTCTTGGGGGGAAATGACTCAAGCATTTTTTAACAAATATTTTCCAAATCACAAGACAATTGCTCTTAAGAAAAGAATCTCAAATTTCTCTCAAAAGGAAAATGAAACTTTGTATCAAACTTGGGAAAAATTTAAAGAGCTTTTGAATTTGTGTCCACACCATGGCTTTGAAAACTGGCGTCTTGCTAGTTATATCTATGAGGGACTTCTCCCCCGTGATCGCCAATTTGTTGAGTCTATGTGTAATGGAAATTTTATGCAAAAAGACCCTGATGATGCCTTAGAATTTTTGGATGAAATTGCTGAAAAAGCTCATCAATGGACTGTCCCCAGTCTAGTTGAGACCACTGATCGTTCAAGAATTGCCACATCTTCTACTAATAAAGGAATTTATCAATTAAAAGAAGAAGATGATTGGAAATTAAAATTTGAGGTTTTGACTAAAGAGATAACTGCTTTGAAAACGGAAAAATCAAATTTGCCACAACCTGTTTTTCCAGCTGATGTTAATCAAGTATGTGATTCTTGTTATGAGATTGGTCATACTATTAAAAATTGTCCAATTTTTCAGGAAATGAAAGGAGCTTATGAGGAGCGTTGTGCTGCTGTTGGAAACTTCAAACAACAATATTCTCCTTTTTCCAACACTTACAATCCAGCAACAAGGAATCATCCAAACTTTCGTTGGAGCAATGATTCACAACCTCAGGTAAGTGAGAGAAATTCTTTCAATCATCAATTTCCTACAACTAACGCATTTAATGCCAGACCCTCTTTGAGCGATACTCTTCAAGCATTTATGCAGGAACAACAGAAGCAAAATCAAAGGTATGATACCTTGTTTGGTCAAATGGTTGAAGAAAATAAAGAAATTAAAAGCCAAATTTCTAAATTCACAAATTCTTTTGCAATAAATGAA